AAGAAATCAAATGGATCGGCATGCTTGTTCGCCTTTCTTCGGACCAGGTTTCGGTTCTCATTCCCGAAGACAAAACCAGGGACCTCGAAGCCTTGGCACTAAATTTTCTGAGAGGCAATGTGGTGAGCCGCAAGGAGTTGAGATCTTTCATCGGAAAAGCCATGAGTATTGCCACCATCATTCTGACGTGGAAGCCTTTCATCACACAGCTTAACGCTGCTTTGCGTGGCAAGATGAGCGAGAGTAACGCACCAGACGGATGCGTCTGGACCAAGCAAGTGTCGCAACCTCCCAAGTGGATTCTCGCCTTCATTCGTGAGTTGGAAAGCCTTCATCTAAGGACATGGGTGGTGGCCGACTATGCCAACAGTGGTTCACAGGTCAGTATCACATGGGACGCCAGCCCCTGGCGTTTTGGAGCGGTGCTTGTCGTTGACGGCACCACCGTCGAGTACTTAGCTGACGTTCCACACAAGTTCGAAACTGAACTTCTTGACATCAGTTTGGGGGATTGCGCTTCCCAGCAAGTCTTGGAGTGCCTGGCTGGATTAGTGGCATTGCGAGTGTGGAAACGATACTGGCTGCAGCGCAGATGCACGCTCATTCTCCGTAGTGACAACGTGGGCGCGCTAATTCTTTTGTCTCATTTGCACACCAGCTCAAGTAGAAACGCGGTGGTAGCGCGCGAATTTGCTTTAGATTTGGGATGTGCTGCGTTCTATCCTAAGCTTGCCGAACATGTCCCAGGCTTTTCAAACAAGACCTGTGATGCTTTAAGCTGTTTGTCTGACCCCTCCGATAAGTACTCCATCCGTGGGCACCTGTTGCGCGTTCCCAGGGTGCCCGTGAGCCCTCATGGTGGCGCTCACTCTTCCCTCCCCAGCTCTCTCTCCGCTAAGCCGGACGGAGCACACAGGGGAGCGAGAGCCGATGGATGACCGTGAAGCATGAGCAAGAAGCAAAAGCCCCCTTACACAGTCAATGCTATCTCGAGCAGATCTGTTCTGGATTTCAAGCCCCTCAGCGACAAGTCTCCGAAAGCAAGTCTGCTTCTTAGTAACATTGGGACTGTTTCTGGGAGGGAAGGCTCCCGGTCTTCTTCTTCGGCTGGTGCTTGGGATCGTCACAGAACTCGTGCAGATCAGCCACCTGTGTGTTACTCATCTGGCGCTTCTTCGGCTCATGCCATAGAGGTTACTACGTCCACGCCTTCAAAAAGGAAGGCTTTGGATGAACTGGAAAGGGATGTGCATGCTCGCTCCAGCCATGCCCCTAGGAATTCCAGATGGACCACTTGGCGGAAGTTCCACTTCGCCTGGTTTGGCGATGAAGAATTCGTCCCGCTGACGAGGACGAAGCTTCTTGCAGTTTCTTCCATGTTCAAGGCTGGAAAGTACGTGAGCTTCGCTGGATATTTGTCTCGTGCAAAAGAAGAACACACTCTGGCAGGGCATGAGTGGTACGCCCTTCTGCAAAGGACTGAAAGGGATTGTCGCAGATCTGTCACCAGAGGTTTGTCTACCAAACCTGCGTCTGCGCCTTTTGACTTTGATAAAGTCATGGACAAGGCGTCGTCCCCAGGTTCGATCAATGGCTCCGGTCAGGAGCCCTTCGAGCCCGCTTCTTTGATTTGCATCGGCACATTATTCATGTGCAGAGAAATCGAGCTGTCTGGGGCACTGGCGTCTGAGATGTGGGTTAATCACAATAAGGCCAGATTGTATTTCATGCTTCCTGCGTCAAAAACCGACAGCAAAGCCAAGGGCACCATCAGTTCCTTGGACTGCCTCTGCTCTATCACCAGGTTTTGTCCCGTGCATCTGGTGTCTGGCTATCAGGAGCGGCTCTTCAGAAAGTTTCCTGAGTGTGATGGATGGCATCACGACTGCTTGCCACTTTTTCCGAAGATGAACGGCGCACCGTTCGAAAAGGCGGAGATCGTGAATTACATGCGGCTCCTGATCCAGGCAAGTGGCGGTCTGTCTAAAGACCAGGCTGGGAGATGGCTACACTCTGGACATTGCTTCCGAGTCACTGGAGCCAGGCTTTGGTCTGGGTGAGGCCTAGACCCCATCACAGTGGGAATACACGGCAGATGGAGTTCAAGTGCCATTTTGAGGTGCATCTCGGAGTCTCCTTTGGAGCCACTTGCGGCCAGAGTGCTCAAGGCAGATTCAAAATCCGTCTTGACAGTCTTGAAGGACTGTCTCGACAAACTGGACCGCATTCTTGAACACAAAGGTGACGTTGATCGTATGGTCACCAAAGAAGTGTTCAATTCGAGCTCCAAAGCGCTTCATCGCGCTACTTACGACACATCTGACCAGCAATATGAATGGCGCACTTATTGCGGATGGCCATTTGCAGGTGTGAGACACGTCTGCGTCTTTGCAGAGGGATTTGTGCCTGAAGGGGCTTGGAAATGTCCTAAATGCTTTCGCCCCCCGCGAGATAACAGCTGTCAGGGCTCATCGTCTGATTCTTCGGACGATTGCTCTTCGGATCTCGACGAGTAGTCGGGTTTGGATTGGGCTAGAAGCCCACTCTTTCTCTTTCGAAGATAATCGTCGACAAGCATACTGTGCGGTGTTTCTTTGCTCCGCCATCGTTGCTTGCCGCTCTGACGATTTGAGATTAGCAGCTCTCCTTTCTAAAAGAAGTCAACGCGGGAGGGTGGGTGGAGCTTGATCCTGATTGTTTTGTACGGCGGCTTTCTGTTGCATAGGGTTTTCTGTTAGATAAGGTTTTTGCATTCGACACAGGTTTTCCTACGGACAATCATTCTCCTATTAGGGAATTCTCATTTAAAACGGTTTGGCTTCGCTCGGCTCGGCTGGGCTTTGATGAACAGTGGTGGTAGTAGTAGTAATTACTAGTAGTAGTAGGAGGAGAAGGAGTAGGAGTAGGAGCAGGAGTAGGAGCAGGAAGTAGGAGCAGGAGTAGGGAGTAGGAGTAGGAGTAGCAGCAGTAGTAGTAGCAGTAGCCGTAGCAGTAGTAGCAAAGCGCCATGAGCGGCTCAAATCTAGACGGGGGTCTCTAGGCATGTCGCTAAGCTGTGCTGGCCACTTACGTGCGTGGCTAATCGAAGCGCTGGACGAACACCTTGCTGATCAACCGGAGAGCACATTGATCTGGGCAGAGCAGCTAACAGGTGAGCTCCTGAGAGGACTGACGGTTCCTGAAATCATTTTGGAAGCGTCACAGATCCTGCCACGACAAAGCTTTGCGCTCTTCCTGTCGTGGTCCAATCGCCACTATAACCAAGAGACCATTGAAGCACTGATCTACATCATTAGACAGCAAGCGAATGCCGCAACAGCTACTGAGATTCTTACGAACAGAGCCCCCTAACGCTGAACTGGGCTATTCAATCCCAGATGCTACGAGAACGACTTCAAACTTTGAGGTCTGCTCAACTCGGTCCCAAGTCCGAGAGCTGAGTGCTACGACGTATCGTTCACATCCAGAACAATCAGCTGGCGCGAGGGTTTCCAGGTATCCCCCGACACTGGATGAAGGTGCCTCGGCACCAAAATACGGGGACGAAAGGCTTTTGGTGATCAGATCCACAAAATGTAGTATCAAGAAGCGCTCTTTAAAGAGAGCTATGCAACGAGCAGACCGGGATGGTAAAGCAGTCTACATGGGTGGCGTCATACCGAGATGGACTCCTCCCTACGAGCCCAGATCCTCACGCCGCCGGTCCAATCCAGAGTTCCGGGTAATGAGCGAATCAAGATAGTTCAATGGAATTGCGGTGGGTTTTCGCAGGAGATACAGATTGAATGGTACTCATGGCTGCGGCAGGACCCGGCTATTGGCATGTTCATTCTGGCAGAAACACATTGGAATTTCACAAACGACTTCCAGTCTGAGGGATGGACCTTGATTCACTCAGGACTGACAAAAAAGAAGGGCGCAGGGGTTCTAATTGGGCTGAGATCTGACCTTGCAGACCGCAGCAACATCAAATGGAACGAACTCGAGGCCGGCAGGCTGCTGAATGTACGATGCAACATACGCAAACAACAGTTTGACATCCTTGCAGTTTACCAACATGCCATGCTACGCGCGAACAACGAGGATATGAAGGAGTTGATGATCAAGAGAAACAAAATATGGCAGAAGATGGATCGGGCCATAGCTGGCTTTCCCTTTAGATCCTCGTTGGTAGTGGCAGGGGACTTCATCGCCGCTCGCGGAGGTGGCTGGACATGGTATTCATGCAGGAGGAGAAGCCGAGTGCCTCAAAACTGAGCGCGCAGAAGTAATGGGGATTCTGCAGGCGAGAAGATTGGTGGTGCTCAACACGTGGGGAAAGCCGGCCACCACATACCGCCACACAAATGGGGAGTCGCAGATCGACTACCTGATAACGCGCAAGCAAAGCGCAGACCTGGAGGCGCGAAGGTGCGCACCTGACCCCACTTGCAGGTTGGCGCTCAGCTGGACATCTGCCACTGGTAGCGTCGCTCAAGCTGAACTGGCTACCCTGGGCTCGCCAGCCACGAGGGCAAGGTGAACGCCAAAGCCAAGCGAGAGAGCCCGAGAGTCTTATGCAGGAGGCAAACCCAAGCCTCTGGGAGCTGCACAGAGCCATCAAGCAACACTGGAGCGACTCACCAGGCAAATTGGCCATGCCAAAGCAGCGCTGCGTGCAGACAGAGGTGGAAGCGCTGTGGAGGAACCGGGACTCACAGCTTGCCGCGGAAGATGGCGGGGAGAATGACGCGGAGAAGCTACAAGCGGAGCACAAACGCGACATGAGGAAGCTGGCAAGACAGCGCACAAGGGAGATGCTCTTGGCCACGCTGGAGTTGGTAGGCGAGGCCCAACAGGCAGGGAACATGCATGCACAGTACCAGTTCATTCGGAAGATTTGCCCCAAGTCTTTTCGGAGAAGGGTTTGTCTGAAAAAGGAGGACGGTGGGATTATGTCGAATGAGGAAGAGTGTGCTGCCTTGGCAGCATACGCCAGGAAGCTGTTCTCAGATGCCGAGTTTGCACAGCCAGATTTGCTTTCGTTGCCAAAGGAGTGGTTTACTCAGGAGGCCTGGAAGATGGCTTTGCGCAAACTACAAACGCACAAAGCAGTCCCTAAATTTTCGGCGAGTGTATACAATTGGAAGCTACGTGCCGAGCAGCTTGCCCTTACCCTACAACAAATAGCAATGTGCACCATATGCTCTGCACAACCGTATGTGCCGGATCTCTGGATGCGAGTGCAGCTGGCCTGGCTGCCCAAGCCAAATCGGGCGCCAACATCGCCGTCCCAGCTGAGAAGCATAGGACTGATGAGCCCGGACACAAAAGCATTTCTTCAGATCTTGAAACAACACGCAAACCCATGGGTTCAGCAAGCACTTGCAGACGCTCCACAATACGCGTACAGGCAGATGACATCCACAACGGACCCAATCCTGAGAGCTACGCAACACTGTGCTAAAGTACGTCAACAGCTTGCCGGGTACTTGGAGGATCACACGGCCAAAATCTTGCAAGTCGCCGACCAGGAGCTTCTTGGAGGATTAATGCTAAGCATTGACCTAAGCAAAGCTTTTGACTATTTGAGCTACAGCGAGATGTACACTGCTCTTCGTGAAACGGGCATGCCTGAAGTTATTAGCCGTGTACTAATTCACATCCACATTCAGACAACGTTGCTGGTAGTTCATGGCGGCCATGAGCGGGAAGTCCGGATGAAACGCGGACTGCGCCAAGGATGCGGCGTAGCTCCCATGATTTACGCATGTTGGACGGTGAAGTTGTGCAAGGCTATTGACAAGGAGATGCTCGGTCTCTATGATGTCGGGCACTCAAAGGCATCGTGGACACAGACGCATATGTCAATATTCGCTGATGATAAACATTGCTTCTGGGGAATCAAATCATGTCACGACTTCGAGAGAGCTCTTCAGCACATCAGGGTTACCCTCGGGGTGATAAACACATCAGGCATGGTGATAAACTTCCAGAAGTCCATGGCGGCGCTGGCATTGAAGGGAACGCAGGCGCAACATGTCATCAACAAGCATACAAAGCAGTGGAATGGAGACAAGTGCTTGATATTGCGGTGCCCAGAGAATGACATCAAAATCCCCGTTGTTAACAATATGGTTTACCTGGGAGTTGTGTTGAGCTATGGACAGTTCGAATTGGCGACAGCCAAACATCGCTGCGCACAGGCCGGCATCAACTTTGCGCAGCTCAAGAACGTGATGCGCGTCAACGGTGTCCTCAGCAAGGCGCAGCGCCTCAAGGTGTATGTTGCATGCGTCTGGCCATCTTTGATGTACGGCATCAGCGCGGTAGGCCTAAACTCCTCGGCACTACGGGTGCTGCAAAGTACAGCGGCCATGCACTTACGCAAGATCTTGAGGATGGTCAAATCTACGCGTCCTGGAACAGGCGGGACTTCACCCTCTACCACAGGTGCAACAACGACTGGATAGACAGGGGCTCATACAAGGGATACTCGCCGAAACCAGGGCATGCGGCAACTTGAGGAGTCCCGACTACAGCAAATCCTGACGCAGGTGGACCTGTTACAACAGCAGAGCCAGAGCTCCTCACTGACACAGGTGGACACCAGCAGCATAGTCCAGATTCCATGCCCAGTGTGCGGTGTTTATTTCGGCACGGCGGAAGGACTGCATCAGCACTTACATCGCCAGCATGCAGACGTGGAACAGGCCTCGAAGATTCGTTTCAGTCGTGAAAGACATAGTCTTCATGGGCTGCCTTACTGCAGGTTTTGCAGGAAAAGATTGGGGACATGGCAATCCCTCACAAAACATGTTACCCAAGGAGCATGCCTCAGAGTGAAGATTGCAGTAGGGTCGGGTCAAAGTATAGACCAACTTCTCGAGGAGATCCAAGAAGAAGAACGACGAGATCCCCCCAAGCCACCGGTCGGGGACACACAGTCCACACAGGACATTCCAGACAGATCTGCTATCATTTCGATCCTGGAGCGCACTTCAATCAAGGACCTGGCCAAGCACAGCCAGACCCTCATCTCCAATGCGTCTTCATGTTTGTTATGTGGCCAGAGAATGCGACAGGCAAGCAGAATGAAAGCGCACTGGCAAAGCAGTCATGCGGAAGTATGGGGGCAAGTTCAACTCCATGCTCGGACACAGGCGCAAAGTCTCAGCGCTATCATGTCCCATCCATGTGCGTATTGCGGAAGCAGGGCCAAAAAACAGCAGAGAGCACGCGGGCAAGTGTTCTATGCTCTTCCAGGCCCTCTCCCTCCAACGCATGCACAAACACCAAATATCTGTGTCTCAGGAGGCGGACGCTAAACCTAGCGCACCGAGAAAGACGGAAGCGGCGCCCAAGTACAAATCCTTCATCTCACCGCTGAAGGCAGCCTTTCAGCAGGGCAAGAGCAATGCGGCGGCCAACAACAGGATGAGCCTCGGGAGCACTCCCGAACTCAGCAAGGACCACCACGGCGATGCAATACAAGTGCGCACCATTGCCAGTGTAAAGCAGGCCAAGGCAAATTTGGGCACCATCAAGCAGTTCTTTCAGCCCAGGCCGACAATTCCAGCTCCACAACCCGAGCAAGAATTCATATATGTGCCATGGTACTGTAGGCTTCGGCTACGGAACCCCAGTTCGATATGCTATCTGAATGCCGGAGTCTTAGCTCTGTTGCACGCAGTCAACGCGCTGCCGCAATACCCAGTGGAGCTGTGTTTTCTTCGGAGCGTCGGACGGACAGCGGCAGAGCGGGGCACAGAGGTGACACTGACCAGAATGAATGGGCTGCGGAAACTCACGCCGTCTTGGGAGTTCACGCCTGAGCAACAGGATACTGCCGAGATTCTGCACCTCATGTTTGCTAATATGCCAGACTTACAGGTCATATGGGATACACGCAAAGTCACCGAGGAGGGCATTCGCCTCTGCACTCAAGGAGCAATGCCGGTGGCTATACCCATGCCCACCGCGGGAGATGCAGTCATGCTCCAGGACGCAATACAAGCATGGAGCTCGATGGACGAGGCGGTCACGGCCCTAACAGTTCATGCAGACATGATATGCATACAGTTGGGGCGGTATCAGCCACACGGCAAGCGCCTTAACATCGTTGATTTGCCAGAGCAGGTCACGCTCCCAGTTTTTCAGGAAGACTCAAGTGTGCAATGGCAGCCATACTATGTGAGCGGCGTTATCATTCATCTGGGCAGGACTCCAACCACTGGCCATTACCGTGCCCTTCTTCGGGTCAGGGCCTCGTGGTGGCTCACAGATGACGGCAGAGTGGCTGAGCGAATAAATCTACATGACGGTCATCATCGCAATGTCTACGTGCTTTTTCTAGTAAGTCATGCAGCGCGGAATCGAGCACAGATGGTTGCATCTGTGCCAACCCAACGCTAGCTGGGCTCAACCAAAGTCGGCCCTCCCGAGCCCGTCCTGTCCAACTAGAATTGCAGAATGGAGGAAGCACTGGACAAGACAACACAGGCGGAGGGCGGCTTCTTTGACCAGTACTGGCCAAGCGTTCAGGCCGCGCAAGCAGCTGGAGCACGCCAGATGGAAGAGGATGAGGATGTGGCGAAAGCGGATGCGGACAGAGCCGCCAAACAGCCGCGCTTCGGAGAGCCCAAGGGCAACCCCGGAAAGGGAAGTGGCAGCTGGGAGGAGACTGAATGGCCTGAGTGGGGCAATGACTTCTCGGACAAATGGGGATCCGATTCCAAGGAGTCCAAGGAGGCCAAGGAGATCAAAGCCCTTCGAAAGGAGGTCAAGCAGTTGAATTAAGGAGGGCATCTTCTCGCTGCAAAAGATGACCCTTAGGCACGAGGATTTCGGCAACTGCATCAAGGCAGAGCTATGCTGGGTAATGTTCCTCCGCCTAGACATGCGCGCGTCTATTGTGCCGTCGCTGTATGCCATGCAGCAAAAATGGAGAGAGCTCAAGGAGAAGCATCCGGAGCAGCTCACGGCGCCAATGCGCATAGACTTGGTCAAGGCAATGTTCAGGGAGTTTGCGGCCAGGCTGGAAAACCTTCCCCAGCAGGAGGAGCAGATGGCCATCTTGGCGAAATTGGGCTGGCTGAGCAAGGACCCCATGGCCTGGCACTATGTGCGTTGGGACCCGGACAACGAGCGACTACGAGCGGACACAGAGCGTGACCCGATTCCTCACGCCCAGGTGGCCGCAGTAGTGGGCTCCATCATGCAGTTGGTGGCTGCAGATGTGGTGACACGCTTCCACCCCAGCAGGGAGATCACGAAGCAGATGGGAGGCAAGAACCTCACAATGTCGCTACAGACGGCGATCCATGGAGATGCGGCAGCCAGCATTCGGCAGCATCTGCGCACCCTCAGCGGGCTCGGTGCCACGCAACTCTTGGGCATGAGCGTACGCCAAGAGCTCCGCGCTGGCAAATCTCATTCAGCGCCAGATCGACGGATGAGACACAAGTGTCCATGACAGGCACCCTAAAGCCAGGGGTCGAGGAGCCGGGCTGAGCCGGGACTGGGCCAAGCCAGTTTTTGAGGTAGCACTGCGATGTCAGTGCGCTTTTGGGGCGGGTACAGCCTCGCTCCGCAGCGAGGCGGATGGCGCTTGGTCCTATCGGGGCGGCCGTCGTACCACAGCTTGACAGCTCGGACAGAAGTTCCAAGCGGTGGACATCGAAGTGGCCATGCATCGGCTGCTCAGGAGGTTGTCTTGAAAAAGAAATACACAAATGCTTACGAAATTGAGCCTGCATTGATCCATGACTACCGGAAGTGCCGTGCCCATCACTAGGGTCAGATGTTGTTTCTCCCCACAGGTTGATTGCCGCGGCCTTGAGTGGTACCGCATTCGCATCGATCAGAACACGCGCCGGAACGGAAGATTCACGCATAGAGTGTTGCATTTTGGTTGCAGCCAGCCCCCTCGGCAACCCGATTCCGATCAGCGCGCATGCTGATGAACCAGGCCGATGAGCAGCCACCTGCCGAGGCATCAATGGATGTATGTGATGTGACAATCGAGGCAGAGCAAGAGTCCGAGGTAGAAATGATCCAGGACCCGATGGTGCATCACAACATATACATGGTTGGCGCTGGTGGGCTAACTGCTTATGAGGAGGACCTCAAACATGAGTACTTCAAGAGGCAAACATATCTGATTAGAGGCGTTTGCTGTGAGGGACTCCCGGTGCCGGAGGAGAATCCAGCTGAGGCGTTAGCGTTTGGGCTTGTCTGCACTGGTCAGGCGACATGGACTCAGCTGGAGAGGCTAATGGTGATGCTGCCGGTTGATCGCTCTTTGCGCTGGCCACAGGACAAGCGGCCAGATGATGAAATCGGGCCCAGAAGGTTCACCGCGGGGGCGTATGTGAGAGGCCCCATGCATGGCACCACCATCCATGCAAGGCAATATCCTTGGACCACCCGAGTGCTGGCCGGCATTGTGCGCACTTGGGACGCGGGGCTAGTGTTCAACGCTGCTACCCTCTCATGTAATGTTCGCGCGCAGCCTCACAAAGACAAGTACAATGAGCAAGGCTCCAGAAATCTAATGTTGCCGATTTCAGCTTTTCAAGGAGGCGAACTATTTGTGGAAGACAGCGAAGGACGGCGCACTTTACAAGCAGGCGGAAAGCCAGGCCATATTCTGACTGCAGGTGAAGCGCTATCCTTCTCTCCACACCAAGTACACGCTACTCTACCGTGGAGCGGAAACCGCATCATTCTGATAGCCTACCACACAGGCATGAGTGCACACATGGATCCAACAATCAAGAATGATTTGATGCAAATGGGGTTCAGACCTGGGGACTGGAGGTCAGCCTAGGGCTGTTTTGCCTCCTCGACTAGACTAGACCGCGAGCTGGTGCAAAGATGGCATGGCTGTGAGTTTGATTGTTGTTCAGATTCAGCAAGCTGCAACACAGTTATGCGCCAAGGTCATGACCAGATAGTCCATGGAGGCAGAGGCTCTGAGAGAGTGCGCAAGACAGGAAGAATTCTTCTGATTTCAGTTATGTGGACCGCCACATTTCGCGGTGACTCCATTTCAATGATGCATGAGCTGCCACATTTCGCAGCAAGTGAGAGCATGACTGCTACAGACGTTCTTGATTGAAGTTTGCAGTCCACAGAGGCTGCTCCGAGCCGTGAGATGAAAGCTCACACACAAATAATTAAGGGACTGCTATAGCATGCACTTTACTCGTCGCTGAATGGGGCTGTCGGCCCGGGCGAGTGTGCACATCCCGTCCGCATGTTTTTGTGCTAATGACAAAGCTGAATACGCTGGGTTATGCTGTCGCGTACAGCCGTGTCCAAGACACGCCCTCCTTTATATAGCCACGCTAGGACGCCTTC